TTTTCTTAGGGGCAGGTTCTTTGCACATCCTTAGGTTTTATCATTTGGTATTATAGCTGGTTGACCAATGACACAAGGAGGGCTACTTGCAGAGGATTTTGACCAGTTAAGAGGCCAAGGTGGTGTTGGCGCAACCATCAAGAGGTTGACTCTTTAGGGCTGTATGAGATTTTTAAGTCCTACACGGAGTATTAGGGGATGCTTGATATAATAGTTAAAGTGTGTGGTTGTTCCCCCTTGAAAGCGTGATTTTAAGGGTGGGTTCCATGCACCTCCTTGGGTCCTATCATATCTTCTCTTACCTCTTTTTACATGTCTTTTTCTTCAATTTAAATTTGTTTATTGAGATGTAGAGGGAACTTTGTTTCTTTGTTCATACATAACCTAATTTGGTTGTCTGTAAAAAACTAGCTTGAGAGGCACACATATGGCATGCTTCAGTGTCATCCACATCCTGGTGATTTTCCGGACAAATCCAGACCTTTCCACTATAGTTACTTCATGGGTCTGCAACGTAAGCAAGGAGTTCCTGTTAATGAAGGCGAACAATTTGATATAAGGCTGACTGTTGAAGAATTTAAGCACTCTGTCAATGTGTACAATTTATGGAAACCTGGAATGGAGATTCGTGTATCTCATGTGAAGCGTCGGAATTTACCTACCTTTGTATTTCCTGGCGGTGTTCGTCCTTCCCGCCCAACTAAAGTAACTTGGGATAGTAAGCGGAGTTCAGAATTGAAGGTCTCTGGCCAGAATCAAGAAAAATCTCATGAAAGTAGAGCAGCTGCAAGTGGAACAGATAATGAAAAGAAGAGAAAGCGAGCAGATGATGAATTGGAGGATAACTTGAGAAGTTCCAAGTCCCTGGCATCTTTACCTTCCTCCAGTAGGGAACTTCATGAGGATAGAACTATGAGCACGGCCAGTTCTTGTTCTATAAAACATGACGATTCACAAGCCAATGTTATTGGGGGACAAAAGAGTGAGAAATCTGATTTGAATTCTCCAGAGGAGATATCGTCTGAGAAGAGTGAAATTAATGGATCAGGAAGAGGCAATGTACAGGTCAACCCAATACTTGCTGCTTCTGATACGTCAAATTCTAAAGAAGCAGAAAAGCTGGCTATTGAGAAGATTATGTCTGGTCCATATGATGCACACCAAGCCTTTCCAGAAGAACCAGATGAACTTGAAGATGATCTTGAGTATAGAAATCAAGTGAAAGGAGATGGAGGAGACGGGAAAAGCAGCAGCTTAGACTCTTTAAACTTGAAGGCTGTTGTTGCAACTGAGCCAGTTATTTCAAATGAGGAAATGATTCATTCGACTCATTTACGCTCTGGTGGCAGCTTGGAGGAGCTCGAGGTTAACCTCTCATCTTGCTTTAACTCAGGGCTTTTTGATATTGGAATTTTCAATGGATGTTAAACCTCCGCCCCAAAAAAAAAATCCGTTGCCATTGTCTTACACTGTATGTGTTAGTGTTGCTCAAATCTGTGTCAAATCAAATATTAGCCATGATATTGTTAAAATTGCTCAGCTTCAGTAGTTCAGTTAGTCCCTGTTTTAGTCTCATCCAGTGTCTTTGCTGCATATATATAATAGCTGCTTGAGTGTTTGACAGTTTTGTTTTGTTTGTCCTTAGTATTCTAGGTAAAATTTGATGGCATAATATTCTACAAACAAAAAGATCGATAAAGTTTGATGATATGGTATTAGTGAAGCATAATTATATCACGAGGTTTTCTTATTAAAATCGATTATTTTATATATGCTATCAGATGATAATTTAGTTTGGAATTCACATTTTATCCTCCATCTCTAAAGGTTTTAATTTCCTATTGCCTTTGCCTTGTCCTATTTTTTCTCAGAGGGCCGTTCTCTGAGAGCTGCAAATGTTACTTTCCATGTGGTATTGGTTCGAAATTGAAGTTTTTCTGAATTTTTCCCCTTTTTTTTTTGTTTTTTTGGTTGGAATCAGCCTGCTGAGCTGACAGCACCATTAGTAAGTGGAACTCCTGCACCTGTGCCGCAAAAGAAGTCTCTGATTAGGTAAACACCAGTCTCTGTTGAATTGGATTCCCCCCCCCCCCCCAAAAAACATTCATGCACGTGCACTTAACCTGGGAGTTATTCTATAGTTTTTTTTTTTTTAAATAAAGGGGCAGATACTAACAGCAGGTTACAAGCGGGATCAAACCCGCAGCCCTCCACTTATAGAGGAGCATTAATGTCAGTAGGCTGCACTGTGTTTAAAGCTTCTGTTTTATTTGGTTCATGACCATTGATTTTCATTGCTATTTTTAGGTTTAACTTCACTTCCTTGGCCAAAGCCGCGGACAAAAGTTCGTAGGTACATCTAAAGTTTAGCTGAAGATAAGCTGGACCGGAAATGAATTTCAGCGATAATTTATATGAGCTTATTTGCTTATTCTATAATAGTGCTGATTCTGTAAAACTAATTGGGCTGGAAAAGCCACAAATTTTTACTTGCGTAAATTGATGTTGGCTTTCACCAGGACATGTCCTTGACATGTCTGAAATGTTATTTTTCTTCGTCTAATATCAATGGGGTCTTTCTGAATTGCAAACTCGCCATTTCTCAATCGATTGTTCTTGTTGGCACATTGCTTGCCATCAGAACTGGGAGTTGAGAAGTCAGACGTAACCTTTGGGCAATTCTCTGGTCTGCAATCTGGACAAGAGCTTTAATATTGAAGATAAGATAATTTCTTGGTTCCTTAAACTGTTGATATGTTTATTAATTTTTTTTTTTAAGTCCTTTCCCTGTTGCAAGTTGTGGTTTGTTGCCTCTATATACACAATTCATCACTGTCAATGACAGAATACATTTTTATTCATGTGTTATCTATCATCAATTAAAAAATAAAGCATAAAGTTAAATGAGCAAACCCGAACCCGAATGGGCCTGTTCACGTGTTAAATAATTAGAGTGTAAACGGTACAAAATCCGTTTTTAAATGGGTTATTAATTTTATTTTTTTTAACCAATCCCTTTGAAAACCATGGGTTATTTGATTCCACCCTTGTAACCTGACCAATGTTTTCAATTCTAATAACTCGATTTGATATGCTCCTCCTATCCTTAATTTTGATCACAAATGTAAGATATATATTTTTTATATTTATAATTTTTTTAAAAATTAACCTATTGATACTTTCTTAGGGAAGAAAGAGAGGATATTGAAAAAGATTATTGGGATGTTTTAAAAAAATGTCATGTTTTTTATGATTAATTAACTCATTTAATTTTTTAAATATAATTAAATTAGTTAAATATGGTTTATATTAAGGATGAGATGAATAGTTGTTATCAAATGCTTCTCATTATCAAAATGAATCAATGAATTGCACCCAAAAAATAAATGAATAATTCTTCTTAATTTGACGGTCGCCCCTTTGCCTGATGGGCATGTGGAATTTTTTCTGAATTTTTCTATTCAATTATGTCATATCAATGGGTCCCACAGGATTACGACCATGACAGATTTGAGCGGCTTGCATGTCTCAAAACATCATAAAAATGAGATTATAATATTTAAAGTTGACATAAAATATAAAAAAATATTTTAATTTTAAATATAAAACTCATTTTATACGTTGAAAAAATTATCTGTTCACAATTTAGCTGGGTGAGTTTACATTTCTTTTTTTGTTAATAGATAAAAACTACCTAGGCCCTGTTTGGATAACACATAAAACCATGGTTTTGAGACCCAAACCATGGTTTGGGTCTCAGACTTGCCAAACACCCAGGAAAAAACAGAAACCATGGTTTTGGATCAAAACCATGGTTTGGAACTCAAAACCATGGTTTCAGAAGAAGTGAATTCATTCTGCTTCTGGCTCAAATGGGAGAATATGATTGTACCTGTAAAGTAGATATCAACGATAATATGATTTTAACATTCCTCAATTATTTTTTTATAAACATATTTAATCTTATATTTTATAAATATATATACATATTAATTATATTATTTTATATATTATTAATTATGTTGGTAAAAAAATATATTATTAACAATTTTATTTTTTCAAATTAAAATATATTATAAAATCTATCTTTTATGTAATTATCATATTAACTTATACATTTTTTAGTAAAATTTGTACATATAAAAAGTTATTCTGATAACAACTATCCAAACACTCTCATTTATCATAATCACTTTTTCACAAAATCTATTCTTCACAAAATCTATTTTTTCCAGAATCTATTCTCCAGAAGCTATTCTCCAAACTATGGTTTGGTTTCATCCAAACACATCCCTAGTTCACACTGCCTGTAGTTTATGAAAAGGGGTAAAGGCAGAATCGAGGCAAACTCGAACGCTTATCTATAAATCTATAAAATAAAATAAATCACAGAAAACTATAAAAGAGGAGACAGCATGGTTTCGCTGCAAAGATAAAAGGGAATACAAAATAGTTTTGAAGGACAGGCATCTTTTTACAGCATAGAAAAAAGACATTATTTGCTCCTATTTTTATGTGATATTTATCTTTTATTTATTATTATGTTAATTTTATTTGTATAAGATATAATATATACTCCTCTGATCCTTAATATAAGACCCATTTAACTAATTTGATTAGATTAAAGAAGTTAGGTAAGTTAGTTAATTATAAGAAAAGTGACACAGTTTTCCTAAAATACCATAATCATCTTTCTTGATGCCCCATCTCCCGCTTCTACTTGATTATGGTTGAGGGAATATACATAGGAGTAATTTAGAGAAAATTGATAAATATAAAAAATAGGTCTTATATTTAGGATTAAAATCAACTCAAGAATTATGTCATATATTAAGGACTGGAGGAGTATTAAATATGAATAAAATTAAAAAATTATTAAATTTAAAATAAAAATTAGTAAATTTTCAAATTTTATATTAAAAATCACTTATAAATAGGTCCTAATCATTGTTTTAAGGTTTAAACTCAATTCTAAACTCGAACACGAAGGGGCAAACGACACGTAAAACGAAAACGGCGGGGATTGACGCTAGCTTCTCTTCCAAGGACGACAGCTTAATGGTTATGAGCTGTAACCAGGCGTAATTAATTGCCTTGTGCCGTGATTAGCTTCTTCGCCTTCGTCTCTTTGATTCACCCTGAAATCCCGGTATCGAATCAAGGGGTTTCCATGTGTCGTTGTGATCCAATCTATAATACTAACACCCACTGAATCCACAACGACAAAGAAGGTGAATGTGGTATAGTGGGGTTTGAGTCAGCCATCGAAGTCGAAGTGACGCGTGAAATTGCTCAGAATTACAAAACCTGGGGATTTTCGTGTCGTCTTTGACAGGGCAGAGATCAGAAAACGTCAAGGAGAGTGGCAAATCATCAGCTTTTAGCAGCCATACTGGCAAGTGAAGGTTATATAGGAGGAGTAATGGATGAGCAGCAGCTTGATGTCGTATTGGTGCCTCTGGGTCTGGTGGTGTTGGGGACATATCACGTTTGGCTTCTCTTTACTATACTTCGGGATCCATATCGGACTGTCATTGGCCTTAACGCTTTGTCTCGTCACCAGTGGGTTACTTCCATGATGACTGTAAGTAATTTCTTGATCCTTCTCTCTCTGTCTCGCCTCTTCTCTTTGTCAATTCGCAGTCGTACTCGTGTTTGTTGTCTTCCTGAAATATTTCATTGTACCGACCGACAGAAGTACGACTACTGTATCGAGATTGATTGATAACAAGTTGATAGCAATAATTGGCTCATTTTGGTGTAGGGAAACCCACAGGGGTTAATAAGGACATAATTTTGTTGTTGTGGTATGCCTTAATTGGATTTTATTTGCACCATGAGGTAAATTGCGTTTTGCGCTGTAACTTTTGTTGTCATCAATAGCAATACTTTTATTCTTGGCTGAGCGTTTTATTACTTCTAAGATTTACTGTGAGTTGAGTGGTATAACTCGTTATTATTCAATTTGCAGACCAGTTAGTCAGACTAGGAGAATTGATTAGTCTAAATCTATCGGAATCATAAATTGATCAACATCATCGTTGGACCTAGATCCAGGCAACAGACCTAAACATCCCTGTGCTGAAAAATTGAAAAATTAGTCCTAACTAATAGATATCAAAAGCTTGTCAATTTAAGCTATCTCTGGTCAATGTTGAAAATTGTTTCCGCTGTTATTTGAAGACTTATTCTTCTTCTTCTTCTTCTTTTAAATAAAGATAAAGTATTTGTCTCCGTGCATAAGTATTTGTCCACCGAACATGATGCGAGGTGTTGTTTAGGATCTTGTTTAATGGGTTCAGGGAAATAATATGTGCGGATATAGTACTGGCTATTTGAACTTTCAACTCTATGATCTTGTGAAGTATAAGTGCCTTTGCATGGAGGAAATTGCAAAATGATTTTTAAAGGCTGCAAGTCCATGGTTATGGAATTTCAACAAGGCAAATCTCTGGTTGACAAATCCATATGAATTTTCGTTTCTCTGGAGTACAGGATATTATGGATGCGACCTCAGGCATGTGAATTTTTGAATACATGTGTGTCATAGGTCAATGAGCAGCTAAAAACTACGGAAAAAACCTTTTGAGCATTGTTCTGCCTGTTGAGCACAGTAGCCAGTTATATTGTAGCTCCAGTTATTGAACATGGGTTTTATATGAATATTTAATTTGCAGAAAATTGGTTCTTCTGCATCTGCAGCCTATCATGATAGTGGTCATTTTTGTGCATCTTCCAAGAAGGTTTCAGTAGGTAGTTGTCCTAAATGAAAATTTGATGGTACAGTAGTTAATGATAGAATAATTTACCGAAGAAACAAAATGATTATTTTCTAAGCCGACTGATATTGGGGGAGTCATACTTTATCAACCAAGCTAATAGTATATATTTTCACTTCAAAAAACTGATACGCATTTTACATTAGGAGAACTAAGTCGAGAGGAGAGTGATTTGGGAATATTATTGGGTTGATTATACTTTGTTGATTGGACACGTTCTAGCTGGTGTGAGATTAGAGGCATTATTGATTAGATCTCTTGTGCTGTTTTCCTGCTCTTCTGTTTTACTTGCATAGCTTATCCGAGGTCAAATTTTTACCAGCCATCTTGACAATCATTTATGATAATTCATGTAATGAATTCTAAGTTGAACTCCATTGGCACATTTTCAGGATCCCTATAAAAACGGGGTTTTGGCAGTTCAGGCAATTCGCAACAATATCATGGCATCTACTCTTCTTGCTACAGCGGCAGTCACACTTAGTTCATTGATTGGTGTTTTTTCAAGCGATAATTCAACATCCAAATTGCTTTATGGCAATAGGGGATCTCTTTGTGCTGCAATCAAGCGCCTTTCTATCTCGGTATGCTTTCTTATCGCATTTCTATGCAATGTGCAATCTATTAGATGCTATGCACATGTCAGCTTCTTAATTACAGCACCTGCACTGAAAGGTAAAAAGGATCTTATTGAGTATGTTTCAAAAACCTTGAATCGTGGGAGTTTTGCTTGGTCCCTTGGTTTGAGAGCATTTTACTTGTCATTTGCTCTTGTTCTCTGGATTTATGGACCCATACCTATGTTTGCATGCTGCTGCTTGACTTGTTTTATATTGTACTTCTTGGATACAACGACTCGAATCACCCGTGATCTTCACAGCAAGTCATTCAAGGAGAGGGAAAATGAAGATGTAGCTGAATCAGCGTAAGTCTGTTATTGTATCCCTAGTTGCACCAGCTGAATTAGAATCAACTGGTGATGTCTTAGCCCCAAGTTTAGTTGTGTGTTGTGTATAGTAATCTATGAAATGAGGCTTATTGATAGAGCGTAGTCGAAGACACCTAGCGGAGTAAGTGTTGTTGTTAATCTCTGAAATAGTATTTGTGTGTATGTTTTGGGTGATAGAAAGGCTATGTAAAAAGTATAGTTTAGGAAGAAATCTTTTGTTGGAAGAAATTTAAATCGTGTTTACTATTAGATTTTCTGATAAAAAAGGATATATGGATGTATGCATTGATGAATTATAAACAATTTTAAAACTGCATAAATTATTATTTTTATTATTGTTGTCGTCGTCCTCGTGGTCGTCACCTTGATGCAATCTGTGCAAGTTTGTTGATCAATATTTATCACATGAGAATAGAAAGTTCTAGCAAACAAAAGTTACATTTGCATACTGTTGTTACCTCTAGCCAAGTGAAAATCTTGATTGATGTATAGCCGGGTCCTAAATATAAAACTCAGTTTATAGTGTAGATTATATTATAAACTAAATCTTATATTTAAAACAAGAGGTATTAGTAAATACTCTCTCCAGTCCTAAATATAATTTATATTACTCCTTCGGTCCTTAATATAGGATTCAATTGTTGAGTTGGTTTTGGTTCTAAATATAAAACTCATTTCTCATATTTATCAATTTTCTGTAAATTGCCTTTATAGATACTCCATCAACCATAATCAAGAAAAGAGGGAGATGAGGTATTAAAAAAGATAATTATGGTGTTTTAGGAAAAATGTGTCACATGTCTTATAATTAACTAACTTATCTAACTTTCTTAATCTAATTAAATTACTTAAATGAGTTTTATATTAAAAACCGAAGAAGTATAAAATAGGTTTTACATTTTAGACTAGAGGAGAGTAGAATTGTGATTTGTATGAAATGAGTAATTTTAGTCTATGCATGAAGACAAGGAGAAGCAGGGATATTTGCAATTGATAGAGACGGTTCAATAGTCGGCTCATAACTCACAAGGTCGTGAGTTTGAATCCCGCTGCCGATGTGAAGACCTTGTTAGTGGGCGATTTGTAAGTACCTTTTAACCGTTCTCTAAGTCTGGAGGCATGTCCTAACTTTGATGAGCTCTTAGGACCCAACTCACCTAAACTTTTTGAATTTAAAAAAAAATAAAAACATGTAGTTTGGGTCCTGGCTGGCAATTTGCAATTTTGCATTCTCTGTGTTGGATGTTGGCAGTTGGCACCCATTTCTGACATGAATGAATTTCTCAGCCGCCCTGAGGTTTTCGGCCCTGTGATTCTGTGAGCAAGGGCCCTACGATTGTGCTTTATCACAACACCAGCCTAAACTCTAAATAATATATTTGTACAGTCATATTATTTTTGTTGTATAATGTGGCATCAAAATAAATTTAATCCGAATACTATGCTTCAAAATTAATGTGGCGTTACTAAAATTAATATTTGAGAACTTGCTTTAGTCTTAAAATTGATTGATATAAGAAACGGTTTATGGCTGCATTTTGCTTGAATTCAGGTTGAGAGTATATAAAAAAATATGTAAATGCAAAACATTATATGCTTAACATATGTCTATATTATAAAAATAATATTTAAAGTATGTTGACATATTTTAAAATTTAAAATTTAGTTAAAACATTGTATATGTTACTGTAGTCTGTAAATTTGTGTGAAATAGATTGAATATAATTTCTCATACATCTTTTTTTTTTTAACCAAATCTCATAATAAACATTATCTCAATCTGCATAAAAAATTTCTTAAACATGACTAGCATATTACTTTTTTAATCCAATTGGTTGATCTATTAAGCATGCGAGTATCTTTAAGTCAAGCAATTTAGTTGAAGGTACACTAAATCGAAGTTCAATTAATTAAAATCTAATTTTGAGTCAATATATATTATATATTAAAAAAAACAAATAACAATATTACAAAGCCCCCTTGTTTCTTTCCCAAAATATATAATCAACAACGTAATAGTCACACAGCCAGTGTAGTAGTTGCATTGGGCGTCAACATATATTAACATGTTATATAGAGTCAATAAGACAACAACATATTTCATTCATAAATTAAAAATAATATTGAGGTTTTATCTTTCCTTATAATATATATTTAGTTTGACTCATAATGGGTTAAGCACCAACTAGATTTACTGATTTTTAAATTTTAAAGTTGCTACATTGATGTTTGGATCAAACAAATGAATGTTTAATTGTGATACGGCCACCTTCTTTCATATCAATAGTAAAAATTATTATATATTGTGAATCTCTTATTTTAGTACTTATCACATATATAGATAGATGAATCAATTGTGTTTCCGGCGGGACAAGTACAAGCTTATCAAACAGAGATTATACTAACTCTAATTTTTAATATAAGAGCTAATTAACTAATTTGAGTAGATTAAGAAAATCAATTAAGTTAATTATTTGTAATAAATAGGTATTGTATTTCTTAAAACATCCTTACTAATCAAGTGTAATGGCTAGAACTATTATTATTACAAGGACTATTTTAGGAAAAAATGAATATATATATGAGATAGATTGGATTGGAGTCTTATATTTAGGATCAAAATAAAAATCAAACGAAATATTATATTAAGGACCCTGGTTTAATTACTGTCTACACGAACCAATAAGAAAAATCTTTTAAAAAAATAATAAACTAATTTTTTCTGTCATTTCATTTATTATGGGTTGACTAACTACATCTCAAACAGGGAATTAAAGGATCAAAATGTGAGCTGGATTAGGTTCAGGATTTAACAGACTTGTCCTTCCTACAGATCCCATTCCAGTTGGTTTAGAAAATGAGAGGACTTTAATTAATTGTCCTCTCTCTTTCACCTCAATCCCTTCACATACAAGTACGAACAAATTAACATACACGTGAATATATATGTATATTTTAATCATTATTATTATGTGGCTCGCATTGTTTACAGGAAACCGTTTCTGTGTCTTCTTGGATGTTATCTATTCGAAAACGAAACCTCTGTGTCTCTGTGTTTGGTTCCACTGTCTTACGGTCGTATCCCATTTTTTCCACAACACACTTCCTGGCAAAAGCAAATTAAAGTCCCTCCAATAATTCACAGGGACCACCCTTGGCTTTTTTTCACTACTACTCTTTATATCTGCAGTTTTATTCTTGATCTGTGCTGTTCAGAGATGGTAAATAAATGATAATACAATCTTTGAAACATTTACGACGAGATCGAGATCAACGGGAGACTGATATGAATAATGCAAGTGGTACCATTGAAGGACCAGATAGATATATTCATGAGTGTCAAATCATTACCAGTGACAATTTTTTTTTTTTTGGACCCCTTCTGCTGTTATCTGCAGAACAACCGCAGATTTTTAGGATCACCTTAGCGAATCAATGAACAAGTTGGGGGCAGAGTAACTTGGAAGAAGAATCCGGAATAGGTACATGCCCACACGTACGTTGTGTCATGGTCAGTGGGGCCCTTCTCTGCTATTTCTTCCCTTATTTCTTCTTACCACAAAATGAAGTGGGGCTGTTCCTGCGAATCATTCGGCGATCATGATACTGCATATATAGCATATATCATCAGAGAACATGAGATTTTTCTTTCAGAAGAAACCAGAAGACATATACATATATGATCAAGCAAATGCTCAATGCCTTGCTGTTTTAGAAACTTTTACAGGTATGCATTGCATTATACACAAAGAGGCGTTCTTAAGAAATTATAAACTAAAAGCTTCTACCAAAAAAGAAAAGATCCGGTTACGTTTTATCAGTATTGTACAAACTCTCTAAGCTGCTTATATGCTCACTTCTTGAGATACACCACAAGATACTATCAGCAAAGGGATCAGTTAAAAATGCTATGTGTTCTTAAACCTCTTCCAGATGCGTTCTTAAGAAATCATAACAGCTTTCTACCCAAAAGAAGAGATCCAGTTACGTTTTACCAGCGGATTGCCAAAAACTCTTGTTAAGACATCATCATCAACAGCTGATTCGTGTGATCTTCATCCAACCTGTCACTGAGGGTATGTGTATATATATCTGACCGATGGAATGAACTCAGAAAAACAAAATGATTTAAATTTGTTCCGAGAGAAACAGTAAAACTTGAAAAGAGAGAGAAGTTAAGAGAGATGCATCATATATAGTATCGTGAATGAAGTAAAAGACATACAGTGATAATATAGGAGAGAACATGAAGAGGTGATGTAGAGGGAAAGTGATGAGAGATATTAAAGTGTGATGACAGAAGAATAGAGAGCACAAAGGAATGAAATGCAGTGAGAGTTTCATGTGATAAATGCATATCATCGTCTGTGCTCTCTATCTTCTGTCAACAATCTCATCATACCCACTTTTTCCCTCTCTTTTCTTCACCCCCCAGTTCTCTCTACCACCTTCTAGTTCTACACTCTACAGTATCAGAATCAGAAAGAAGAAAAAGTAAATCTCTTGATTTGCAGCTTTGGACTGTTAGCTCTCTCACCACAAGCACCTATTTATAGGAAAAAAGGAAAAGGCCTTAAAGGGCCATGAATCACCATTCTATAATAGACAAGCTATTTCTACTTCTTTGTACCTTACTTTTTGTAACCACTTTTCACGAGATAAAATATTTTCTAAAGGATACTCCTGTAACCGTCCATTTACGTACCTCATGTAAATCCATGCAAGCCAATACCTTTGTGGGAAACTGTACTTTCTATCAAAATCATATCATATATATATGTATATTCTAAGACTTATGGGTATTAATTTTTTTAGTTATTTTATTATAGTTCAAATGATGGATAAAATGTAATTTTTGTTTCATGCAAATAAATTTAATTTCCACCTAATCCTCCTTGGGTCATTTATTTATGCAGGAGGTTCGCCCATGTGCTGTGGGATTTTCTGTAAATCTTCTGATATCATCGTATATTTTCTGAAGTTGAAACTCACAATCGAAATCGTATAAAGTTGTTTTGATTTTACATCTATCCTGTTCACTTACTATAAGTGGTGTGTGAGGCCCACAATATGCAGATACTCCACTGAAGTAGGACCTTGAATGGGTCAAGGCAAGTGAAAGTGAAGCTGTCAAGTGGTTCAAAAATATTGTACAACATCATTAATATTAATATTAATACTGTTTACCTAACTAATGTATATTAAATGCTGACGAATTACTCTTTATCTCTTTCTTTAATTTTTCCAAAGTTGGTGACTGAGAAGCAAGGTGCCTTGAGTGATTTGCTATTCCTTATTTAGAGCCATTGGTTTTGAAAGAAACCTAACCACACAATGCTGGAAGGTTGTGGATGATTCTGTGTAATATGCGCGTGGTTGACAAGTCACCATCACCAAGCAGGCCATTGAACCAGATCAGTTTCAGCGTATATTGAACCAAATCAAAGCATATTTCTTATTCTATGCCCGTTATTTAATATAAGACTCAATTGATTAATTTAGAGAGATTAAAAAAATTACTAAATTATTTAAGTATAGCATATGTTACCCGATTTTTTAAAATACTTGTATATGTATCATTAGATTATACATTAATTTATAAGTGAAATAAATTAGTTTGGATAAAAACAATAAATATAAATACTTGAAAGTAATTTAATGACTTTCTTAATCTCCCTAAATTGCTAGGTATTATTTTAAGGATTGGAGTCTTGAATACCACACAGTACCAAGTGCTTCTTTAAATTTCATTTCACAGGGATTTTGTTTTGTGGCTATGCATGTGCACTGTTGATGTAATCTTATAAAAGTGAATGCTATCTTATAAAAAAAATTCTTTTAAAAAAGTTTAGCTTATATTTTGAACTAGAGGCAGTAATTAAGAACTAACACCATTTGATTTTATTTATTTGGGTAAATTCTGGCATTTATTTTTGTACTTATTCTATAATAACATTTATCCTTTTGAATATAAACATTTTTTTGCCATAACTCACACACCCATTATACCCTCCTTAGAAAGTTCAAATTAACAATCTCACGCTTGGGGGGGGGGGACAAAGCTTTAAGAGAGATGCTTGGTGTCAGTTAAGTTATAAGGTCCAGACTATAAAAACCCCTTATTACATGGTTTTTTTAAATCTTTTTCTTGCAGCAATTCCATTTCTCCAAATGCTCTTATTTCTCACATTATACATTTTGGGCCCCCCCCCCCCGGGGGAAGTTTAGGTACTTTGTACAATATAATTTTCAATTTTGGCTCCTCTCATGACTAGGCCTTCTAGAATATTTCCTTTCCATGATTTACGCCATTGGAACCGGTTTAATTATCTTTACACATGAAGTAGTTTGGATAGATGAACTTCAAATGGTAAATAATATCAGCTGCAAAAGAATTTTCTGCAGCAGCATTATTTACTGCTCATTAACTATGAACTGAACAGAGTATCAACCCACAGAACCAATTAATATGTAGGGTGTATCAGCTTCTTTCTGTGCCCTCTCTTATTTTTGCTAAAGGATTAGTAAAGCCAAGTGTGAAAACGTGGCTGTCCATTCTTGGTATGTTGACCTAAAAAAGAAACAAGTCTAAAATAGAAACTACGCTATCCATAGCAAAATGGGCCTATGCGCACATTTCTAGCATATATATTGTAAGTCGCAAAAGCATGAAACCACGTTATAACCCACAAAAGTAAAACCAAAAGATTAAGGGTAACCAATCAGTAAATAAGGAGAGAGAAACTGTGCCAGAAATCGCTTTCAAAAGGAATCACATCTTGAAGTTTCAGCTTGAAGAGAGATATGAAAGAGAAGATGAGCGTGTTTGGCAATAGGTTAAGGATATGCCAAAGTGTTAGATTCTCTATGAAAAGGAATCCAAGAAGCAGGATCTGTGCATAATTGCTATATTAGCCAAACAGCATCTGTGCATCACCATAATTGCTTTAAATATCTTCCCGCATGCAGCTGTTTGTGTGGCTGCCTCTCGGGTAGATTTATATTCTGTGTGTTCATTGCATAAATTTATTCTTTTATATGACTCTATTTCAAACCACGATATATTATTGTCGACGATTATCATTCTTTTGAAGCCTGCTTTGAAAAGACTTGATAAAGAGGTAGCGTTTAGACCACGAACACGTTCAAAATTTATCCCCACAAGGACTTTCGAAAGGGAATGTAATGTGAAATAATAGAATAAACTTTTCAATGACGAGTTCAAATAGAACAAGAGATAAACAGAACATATTCAGAGAATGAGAATGAATGAAGAATGGGGAAAAGCATGGAGATTTTTTTTTTAAATGAAAAAAAGACTAAAGCCAATATTTTGAATTCTACAGTAATGGTCTTACTTTCATTTTTCACTTTTTCAATATTCCTGAGAGTATGGTCCTGAATTCCAGATAAAGGCTTGATAAGCATGGAAAAGAACCAGTCAAGGGAAAGTTGTTGAGATGAATTACCTCTTGACTTATCATGCAAGAGATAAATCTTTATATATCCCTTTGCTTTTTCTTATAATTGTAGCAAGAGTTATGAACTGTGATATTCAGGAAACATGACAGCGGGATGTTTGAAATTTCTTCTTCAATATAATTAGCAATAATGAATCTCCTGTTGTAAAAAGAAGGAACAATAATATTGTGAAAGGTCATTCTCTGTTCCTCTAAACCTAGTTGAGCCCGATGTTTATAGTGTAGCGTGGATTAGTCTAGCAAGGATCCGACGAGAAGCCATAGCAACATGACAGTGAAAGTATATACATATTTATTTCAGACTGAGCAGTCATAAATGGAGTTGAAAGTGACACGATCAGATCAAAATTAAAGCAATCTGCTCCTCTTAATTTTCTCCTCTCTTCGAGAGACATCCACAACCTCGAATATCAACCTCACACGTGATTTTCCAATTTTTGTGACAGATCTTGCAGATCGTCGTCTCTTGCCAAGAGAATTTCAAATGCTATAAGAACCTCACATATAAATCTTGTTGACTTTTAAGATGTAATTTAGATGCACTGTTAGTTAAAAACAGGTATGTGAAGGCCTAGATTTGTCGGATTCAGATACATATACAGTGTGGCGAGTTACAGAAGGACATAGTACGGCAATCGAAGTTCTCGATTTGCGTCCCACATCGGCTAATGAAACGGCGAGACTTACAGGAATGCCTATAAAACGGAGGCTTGTACGACTTTAAGGCTTATCTTTGCGCTTGGGGCAATGACGCAGCTAGTGAGGTTCTAACCGAGGCGCGTCTATTGCTGGTTGAAAACTATTTCCAAACCCCCTCTTGGGCCTGGGTTTGGCCCAGGCCTTTGAGAATTTCTGGAAGGGCTCCCTTTGGGGTAAAGCCCTGCGATACTTTAGTTCAAATTTTCTAATTCCTTCTATGTGTTTGTTTGGGCCTTAGTCAATTGGGTTGTTCGGGCCCAAAGAGAGGTGTGGTAGGCTCTGAATGCCTATTGCACTTAATAAGGCCCATTTATAAATCGGCCAAAAATTCCATATTTCATGTGGAATCTAAAGGTACGTTGAAGAATTGGGAAGAAATCAACCCTGCATGCTATCACTATAAAACATAAATTTAGCATATAAATCTATAAAGAAAGGAAATACTTTTGTTACGGCGGATGGGACTGGAAAAATTTATAGGGGGCGAATGCCTGTATTCCATGTTAATATTAATAAAAAGTTAAGATTAATTTTACTTGAATAATAATAATAATATATATATATATATATATATATATATATAAAAGAAGTGCAACGCTGACAAATAAATGTAAATACTTTTAATCTTATATCACCAAGAAATAAATGTCTTTACCTTGACATACAAACAAGTTAGTTGTTGGCATTGGTTGGACGTTATTTGTATTTTGTTATAAACACTTGTTTGTTTATTAAGTTTAAATTTATAAAGTATAGAATGATTTATCTGAATTAATTGAATGGTATTTTTCACATGCCAACTTGAGTTGGACAAAGGTAATTAACATTCACCTTAGAAACATGTTTAATTTCTCAGAAAACAAGAGGCCATTACAATACCCAAAAGAAGAAAAAGATAAAAGAAACGAAAACAAGGTGAAATAAAAACAAAAAGAAAGAATTAAAGAAAAACGTCATATTATTGTTTGATCAGCGCTTCCAAATAAAATATTCGAATGATTAGTTTTGACATTCGACAGTTGAGAAGTACGCTAAAGCTTTTTTTTTTTTTTGGGGTACAACTGCCAAACCTTTATAAATTGAAAATGGAAATGGCGGATAATGCCATCACTAAACATTTTAATCACATATTCTGGTTCTAATTGTGTGTGTGAGTGAATATAAATGACTAGCCGTTATTACTCGGAGTCGAAGGAGGGGAACCTTGGGGGACAGGTGGACTTGTTGGCAACCCACCGAGTCCCCTCATCTTCATATCTGCAACTGCAAGCACATCACCACACACGCTAAACCTTGTGATTGGAGTAAATTTCCATTATACCTAACTCAGATGCCTA